TTTTATTATAGACCTAAACCCACTCTAACTCACTTATGATTGTCCATTCTCTTTTAGTGGTCGTCCTTGGCATGACGCTAAACTGCCAATAAGCACTCGTCCGCTTGCGCGGCGGGACACGAGTAAGATATAAGTAATTACAATACTAATACTAATACTAACCTACATTTATTAATTAACGGATTGTTACTACACAAAACGATGCGTCCGAAATTCATTTAAACCATAACTTATGTCTTTGTTATAATGTGTTGGTTTTCTATACGTTTTCTAATATAAAGTCTTATGAGTTTTGAAAGTCATAGAATAATCATTTGTATTATAGTCAGAGGTTGCCTTATTTCGAACACGTAGCGAATATGTTACCGAATTAACTTCAAAGTTCAAATTAAATTAGACGTTTGGAAACCAATCATTTGGGTAATTTTGAACATGGAGGCCGCCAAATGGGAATGATACATTATAGAAATAGAATTGTTTCCAAATAACGACTAGACTGCGAAACGTTTGAACGTGGTGACATCGTCATTTAGACGACGAGAAATACCTACCTAACCCAACACTCCTTCCATGAAAAGTATTCTGTACAAGGCTGACATAAAAACCAGTCCCTGCATAGCAGCTTAACATGTTTGTTAGCTAATACCAATTTCCCTATGGTTGCAATGCCAAACTATGCATTAAAAGAGTTAGAAGATTGAAAGAATCCTTTCCAGTAGGCAATCGGGAATAGATCAAGGGCCAAACTCGAAACATCGTCAGCAGAGCGTAATTATACGTAACTCCGTACAGACACTAACTAAGGAAAGGCAGTTAAATATATCAGTAGAAGATTCGAATAGGGGTTAATTGTCATGTGTGTCTTAAATAACAATGTCAAAGTTACAATAGGATATATTCACAAACAATGTGCCCTGAACAAACAATTCTAGAATATATTTCTCGCCCCGCTGCAGTGACATAATTTCGTTTAAACCTATTCGTGATTCCTGTGACTTTTGACCAATAACGTAGTCGTTTGGTTTTGGCTTCGTTTAATAAGGAAATTATGGGCACGTAAAAGCCGTGAAACAATGATATTGTCCCCCGCTTATTACAAAGCGTTTATCCTTTCACAGTAGAAGAGGCTATCGCACATGAGATTATGCCATAGACTAAAACGCAACGATTATGATATTCGCCATATGAAGAACACAAGACGGGGATTGGAGACATCGTACTGGGCACGACAATTGCATCTTTTGCCCCCTATTATAAGGTCACTTGATAAATCGATACGCACTAATTTCTCACGATGTTTATTTCTCACGATTGTGTGATGCCACATACCATTACTTTAAGAGACCCCGGTAATAGTAAAAAAGAACCGCGTTAGTACACTATGCGGTGGCTTGACAACAAAAATATGAAGCCAAAAAAAAAACGTATCTATTGTTATTAAGGGAATTCACGATCTCAGATTTGCATTGTCTTGTGATCCTCCCAGAATGCGAGATCAGTAACAAAATGCGTTTGATCTATCTAATGTTTTGATAACTATCACACGATATATTCCCTTCCAAGATTTGTGAGTAGGCATGACATACAGCTTTGCCTTCGACATGTTAAAAGGAACATGTATTGCCGCCCACCCCCTTTTCCCCCAACATATCGATTTGTATTACGTGCAGAAAGTCACACATGTCTACCAAATCTTGGGATCACAACCTAAAAGTATGTATAGAGAATCAATCATTGATCAAATTTTAATTATCACTTTCCTGGGGCTTTGACACTTTCATTCTTTTCAAAACTAAGCCCTCCACCCCACACACACGCTCTCTTGCTTTCTCTTGTTACGAGGCATATCCTCAACAATACACTCATTTGCCGTAAACTTAAACTTTCACACATATCAACAAACAAATATAAATTCCCAAAACATTTCTGGTAGCGAATATCCTTCCCCTATTTTTCACTGCTTCATAGTCGGGCGTCATCTCATAAATAGTTTTGTACTGTAATTATATATATAGTTCCTTACTAGTTAGACAAAGAACACGTATTCGCGTGTCTATTTTTATTTATAGACTTGATAAAAGGGGGAAAAGTATAATCCTATTCCGACACTATCACAAGAGTAGAAAGCTTGTATAATATCTACAATAGATACAAAGCAGATTACATATACAGAATCAACAAGCATCTGCAAGTATATCATTGCCGCTCAGAACATTCAAATGGATAAATCAACCATCTCTCCGCAAATCAATCAGGATTCCGTATACTCTGCGTCATCCAGCTCGGACGAAAGCGATGACAGCCGCTTCCTGTCCGCATCGACGATATCCTTTCGTCCAAGCCATCACCACTCACTGGCACGCAGGCCGTCTACTTCTTCAATTAGCTCATACGCGTCATCAACATCCTCACCTCCCCAGACACCGATCTCTTCTTCCTCATCGCCGTCTCACTTTCAATCCGGTCTGACAACTCACACTCATCCCACTTATCCATCACTCGGCTCATCAGGGCTTAGCGCACACAATTGGACTCTGTCCGGTGGTCTCACAACGTCTGGTCGTTGGTTTAGGGATTCTCTCGGTCGGACATGTTTACTTCGGGGTGTGAACATGTGTGGTAACTGCAAAAGTCCAATGAAATCGTCTAACGGTACGCATGGAACAGACGAATTTTTTGACCATCGGAATGTATCATTCGTTGGAAGACCATTTCCGTTGGAAGAGGCTCATGAACATTTCGCAAGATTAAGATCTTGGGGGTTGACTTTTGTACGACTTCTTGTACCATGGGAGGCTTTGGAGCATGCCGGACCGTAAGTGATGAGATTCTAATGTCTGCCGAGTTTTCCCGTAGCAAACATTTGGATGAGTGGGTGCAGTTTGGTGGTCATTTTTTCTTTAGGTCTCATCAGTAATTGTTTGTTCTTTTTTCTTTCTTTCTTCAGTGGTAATTATGATGAAGAATACATTGACTACTTAGTAAGCATTATCGAAATGATGCCTCGATATGGAATAAAGTGCTTTATTGACCCGCATCAAGACACTGTAAGCCGAAACCTAATGTTTTTTACGATTGATTAATCGATCAAGCTATTCCGTAACATGCAACTCATTTATCTCTCTCCAATATTCACTTTTAGTGGTCTCGTTTCTCTGGTGGGTCAGGCGCGCCAGGATGGACATTTGAGGTCGCTGGTCTTGATATTACGAAATTTCAAGTAACCGGTGCTGCTCATATCCATAATATTCATTTTCATAATGATCATCTCGAATCGGGGAGCTCAGAGCCCATGGTTTGGCCCACAAATTACACCAAGCTTGCTAGCTCTACTATGTTTACATTGTTCTGGAGTGGAAACACATTTGCGCCAGAGCTTGAATACCAGGGAAAGCAAGTACAGGACTTTTTACAAGATTGTTATTTGAATTGCTATTCGCATTTGGCAGAGTAAGTAAGAAATGGTATTGATGAGACGTGGTGCTTAAAAACATAGTGAAGGAGAGAGCACAAGTGTTTAGAAGGGCCGTACTTGAGGCCGGTTACCGAAGATTGGTATTGTTGGCTATGTTGTATAGACTCATGACTAATGACTTACTTTCTAATGACATTTCAGACGAGTCCAACAGTTGGAGGCTGTAATCGGATTCGAAGTCATGAACGAGCCGCAGTAAGTAATGCTGACCAAGTTGCAATTAGTTTATATCGTCGCTTACCTATAATAATACTAAATACTCTTCTCCTTTCCCAGCCAAGGCTACATAGGTCTAGTCGACTTGACACGTTACAACTCGGTCCATACACTAGTCTTTGGTGATTCTCCATCCGCTTTTCAATCGTTCACATTAGGGGACGGCATTCCGACAGAAATTGAAGTCTGGATCAAGTCTTGGCCATACCCAACGCGCAAACATTCCACCCGAGTCGTCAATACCGAATGCGAGTCTGCCTGGCTTAACCGTCGCCAATGTATATGGCGTCGCCATGGCGTCTGGGATATAGATGAAACAACAAAAAGTCCAGTCCTTTTACAGAAAGAGTATTTCACAAAAGATCCACAAACGGGAAAGCCTGTAGAATTTTATGCAGATTTTTATTTGCCGTTTGTCAATAAGTATATAAAGGCCATACAGAGTGTGAAAGAGAGTTATTTGGTTTTCGTTGAACCTCTGCCTAATGAGGTATGTAAAAGGAGAAGAACGGGTCATGTATATTGCTACTGATTATGTCCGATGACGGGTTGTGTTTAAACGAGATATAATATATCTCGCTTATTCATACTAGCAAATTTTCATTCACGTTACTTATATCGTATTCATTGTTTTCGTTGTTTTCTTTTCCATTTCCATTATCTAGCCACCACCAGTATGGACTCCAACAGATAACTCTCGTAATGTCATCTACGCTCCGCATTGGTACGATTTAAAATCCGTCTTCAACAAGGCATTCGACGGATTGATCACTCATGATGTTCAAAGTCTAAGCAAAGGGAATAATGTCATATCCGCTACTTACTTTGGACTCAAAGGCGCCAAGAATAATTACACGGGTCAAGTGAGAAATACAGTCAATAAAGGGTTGATCAATGTTGGAGAGAAACCGTGCGTCATAGGGGAATGTGGGATACCAATGGACATTAACGAGAAAAAGGCTTTCGAAACGGGAGATTATACGCATCATAGCAACTTTTTGGACGCCGTTTTGTGCGCCATGGAGAGAAATCTCGTTAATTTCACGTAAGTTTTCAAAGAGAAAATAACAGCGCAGGTTGATGCGTAAACTCATATCATGTTTTTTTTTTTTTTTACTTCAGCCTTTGGAACTATAATCCAACAAACGATAACACGTATGGCGACCACTGGAACGGAGAAGACTTTTCCATCTACTCTCCTCTGCCAGAATCCAAGAAAACGAATTTCACTACTCAAACAATAACTATTACGGCCACGACAATATCAGAAGATGATAATAAGGAAACGGTCAAACCCAAGTCTGTTAAAAAAGGATTAAAAGTACAGACCATGTTCGATACTGAGAGAGAACATAAACAAGAGAGAGATACAGACAACAAATATGGAACAGAAAAGAGTCCTACTAGTCCGTTCGAGTTGATGCAGGTACATTTTTGGGATCAGGAGGAAGAAAACGATGAGGATCATTATCATCATATTGGAGGAAGAGTGTTGGATGCAGTGTTGGTAAGTGTGACCAAGAAAATGATGTCGAGTTGGATTACTACGTATCATGCATGGCTCACTGTTTTTTAATCCATTTCCATCTTTTGTCTAATTATCGATGATTGATTACGTTAAACCAGCGTCCCTATGCATCAAAAGTCCCCGGTATACCTCAAATAACTCATTTCAACCTTCGAACGCTCGAATACAAGTTCCAGTTTACCAACTACTCACGGGGCGCACACCCATTTCCTTCCATTTCACTCTCACCCGAGGTTGAGATTTATATACCCAATTATCACTACAAGCAGCTCCATCTCGATATTCGCGTGTCAGATGGTGACTGGCGATATGTTAGATCCCGTCAGACTCTGTATTGGAGAGTCAAGGACTGGACGACTGAAGGCATCGAACACAGTTTAAGGATCAGGATTGTAGACAATAATGATAAGCAACTGGTGAAGACTGTGGATGCATGGAATGTTTGGGGGCTGAGAATGTGGATGATAGTCATTGTAATATTTATTAGCATCTTTTTGGGTAATGATTGGATAATGTCTAGATGGGCGCGGCAGGGATCAGTTTTATTGATGTGAGGGCCGTCGGCATGTGTTGCTTTTTTTTTCCCTTAAAAAATGACATATAATACCAGGTACCAACGACAATCTACGTTTTTACATGGTCGAGATAACGAACAATTTCTGTGGTTTGTATCATTGTTCTAAATGAAGTCATCATGACAATTATTTACTTTAGATAAGCTATAGAAAATGACCAAATCGATAGAAAGTTTTTTATACATAGTCTTTTTTTCTTTCAAACAAAATCAAGAGCGAACTAGATAATAAAGTCCCGCATAGGCGGATAATAAACTGAACGTAATGTCCCAGAGGGAATGTGATTGGTTTGGTTGTTTCTTGCGCCTGTGAATTTTGAACATCCTGCGAGAACGGACGACGCAATCTGCAATTTACAGCTAATACAAGTTTTTAGAGTTGTTTTCTTTGCGAAATATGGTGATGATTGGCAGAAAAATGAGTCATTTTGGTAACTGAAATGCAAATAAACGTGTGCGAATGTACCACATAATTGCAATGATCGGCAGACTCTGAGTGAAGTTTTTTCCCTGACAGTTTTTTTCGGGTTATGGGTACATATAAGAAGAATATTTATCTGACAGGCGAAGGCCGATCGTGAGTTGTTAATAAGAGGATATTGCATTCAACTTGATTAGAAACATGTGTGATTCCACAAAAATAATCGGCTAATTTTATACTTAGTCCTTGGTACAGGTATCGTGCATTAAAGATGTCTTTTGTGAGTTTGTTGCTTTTCGGGAAAAAACGAATCATTATTGATTGCAGAAGCGTCGATTCAATAGACAAGATGGGAAGAATTGTTCGCCATATCTCATTGCGGTAGCCGGTAGGTGGTATGGTTTAGAGGGGGGTAAAATTGTCTCGAATCCATTCTCATTATTTTCTGTTGCATAAAGGTGGGAGTGCTAGTGGGAAAACTAGTGTTGCCCAGTAAGGATTAAGGTTTTCGTTTCCCCATTCCAAATGTATTCTTTGTAGTTGTATATACTTTGCGCGTTAAACTGGTTTAATTTTTATCGCAGGAGAATAATCAAAAATCTCAACGTCCCGTGGGTTGTTCTGCTGAGCATGGATTCATACTACAAGCCACTTACTCCCGAACAACTTGAAGCTGCCATGAATAAGTAAGACGGTTGAGAGTACTGAATTACACATATTTATATGCTCATTTTACTCTGTCCCTTTAATCTCTCGGACCAAGTGATTACAATTTTGATCATCCCAACGCATTCGATTACGAAACGCTAGCACAAACTTTAAAAGATCTCAAGGAAGGGTAATTGGTCATTCACGTCATTCCGTTGTTAATAAAATTTATGGCACTAATTTTGTTCTCAACAATGGGGGAACCCTGTAGGAAGCGAGTGGAGATACCTATCTATGATTTCACAACCCATTCTAGACGCCCAGAGACGTCAACCATTTATGGCGCCAACGTTATCATCTTTGAAGGCATTTTTGCTTTATACGACAAAACCATCACAGATCTTATGGATTTGAAGGTGCATATATATAACATATGTGCACGTCTTTAACTTTTAATTCGATCGCACGAATTGTTCTAAAGACAAACTATTGGCCTTAGATCTTTGTGGATACCGATGCGGATATTCGGCTGGCTAGAAGATGTAAGCGAGAATCAGCAGATACATGTTATACACTGCTTGTTAAGATGCCAGTACATGGGAAGGACCTTGGATAATGTTTATTTTGTGAAATTTTATAGTAAAACGAGACATAAACGAGCGAGGACGCGATATCCATGGTGTACTCCAAGTGAGTCTGAATTATGAATGGGCATATAAAGTCGAACGCGTAATCGTATTAAAACAGTTCTGCTATTGTAATATAGCAATACGGACGGTTCGTTAAATCATCATTTGACGATCATATTCTACCAACAGTAAAGAACGCGGATGTGGTACTTGCAATCTTTATACAGTCTCGTATCTAGCAACCTTTTTTTTTCTTTTTCACGCTAACGTGCTTTGTATTTCTAGATTATTCCACGAGGCTTGGAGAACCATGTTGCAATAGAACTTATCACAAAGAACGTCCAGAAGCAATTGGCGGAGCGCAAGCTAAACTTTCGATGGGATTTGGCAAGGATAGAGTGTACGGATGAGATACCTGAAAACGTGATTTTGTTGGAAGCCACGCCTCAGTTAAAGGTATTTGAGCATATGCGTTATCCCAGGTAAAGTTATAATAGTCATGCTGACACAAGTTTCTTCAGGGAATACATACAATCATTCGTGATTGTACCACAGCGCGAGACGATCTTATTTTTTACACTGAAAGGCTTGCAACGCTCGTGGTTGAACGGTAACGCATATATATATATATATATATATAATATATTTCGTTTATGGAGATGCTGTTTTTGAACTGTCGCTGAATATGTGTATTTGATTATCATCACTTGAAGGGGTCTGGCAGAGCTGCCTTTTCGTCATCGTAAAGTAATAACACCTCTTAATATTGAATGCGATGGCAAGGTCCTGGATGCTCAGGTATTATTATCGTTATTTAATCGTTTTAAATATCGTTCATCGGGTAATAGTAACGCGTGTTGCATCCAATTTGTAGATCTGCGGAGTATCTATCCTTCGTGCTGGTGGTACTATGGAGACAGGCCTCCGTCGAGCCATAAAAGATGCACTCATAGGAAAGATGCTGATTCAATCTGATCCTCAAACTGGTGAGCCACAGGTAAAGTGACGGTCAATCATATTTAATTGGCAGAAACGCGTGTTTGCTTGCTAATCTTTTTGAACATAGTTACACTACATTAAGCTCCCATCTGCTATTGACAAATGTCATGTGTTTCTTATGGTAAGAATTATTAAACTGCGTGTTATGCGTGTTTATATGAACTGTACAAGATTAATCCACAATTTTTTTATAGGATGCACAAATTGCAACGGGCGCGGCTGGTCTGATGGCTATTCGAGTTTTATTGGACCATAATGTACCAGAGGTATGAACTATTTATATTATTGCGTCTTTTCATTTTTTTTCTAATACTTTTACATGTACTGCTAATACCCACATCATTATAGGACAAAATTATTTTCTTGACATTTCTTTCTACTTTCCAAGGTTGGTCTGTCATTGCAGTCATCCATATGTATTTGTGTGATTATTCATGACTCTAACATTGCATGTAAAAACAGGATTACATACAATTTCCAAGGCCTTTCCAAAGGTCAAGTTGTGTACTTCAATGGTAGACCCCAAAGTCAGCGAGCATACACTTTACGTTGAACCTGGAATGGGCAACTTTGGAGGTATGAGAATGCTATCTAACCGTTCTATGTAAAAAGTTAATAACTGATGATCTTTTGTTTGCAGATCGATACTTTGGTACGGAACCTTAATATTAGAGAACGTACAATGCAGTTTTCATTGTTGAGGTTTCGATCAAATATATTAGCATACATGTCGTGTTGTTTTTTTTAAATTTATTGTTAATTTTTCTTACAATCATTGTTGCTTATTACCTTGACAAAGCACTATAAGAACACTTTTGCGATGCAATAATATTTTCTACTACTAAAGATGGACATACTATATCGTTGTGTCAATTTGCATTGGTAAATTGATTTGCATTTGATCAATGCCTATTTTGTCATCACGAACCCCCGCTATATACGTAACTACGTAGCAAGACAATTAGCTGCTATAAAAGTTACGTAGTATTCTAACAAGAGGTAGCCTGGAGAATCGATAAGCGACACTGTGTGAACGTGCATTTATTGGAGGAAAATTCCTTTACGGCGATGAAGTTTTTCGACCTACTGAATATAATCAATAAACCGTATAGAAAACGGACGGTTAAGTATCACGCAGGATTGGCAAAAGCGACGGATTGTTAACATCCCTAAAAAAAAGCAAGTGTCGTGTTAATAGTTTATCTTCCAATGTTAAAAGTAAATATTTCTCACTGTTGGTAGACAAGAAAAAATCATTTGCCAAAATTTATGGCGTTGTGGCTTTTATATTGTCAACTGTATTGAGCTTGTAACATTTTGATGGTAAATGCAATTCGACTAACTAGCGAGCTCTTTAAGCGGATGATTCTTTTATTGATCTTGGAATCTCGAGAGCTGATTAGACCATGAATGTATTTTTTTTTACCTGATAGATCGGCTAACAAAAATTACTGGTTATTATTGCTAAGTTTTCGTCGAACAATTTGAGAACAACAGGTCAAGATACATCAAGTTTGACCGTGAGAATTAGGTTATTTAGGAGTCATCTTTTGTGGTTATTTGTGAGCAAAGTTGGTATTTATTGAGATGCAGTTGCAAGTAGAGGACAATACGGCCGATGTTCTATGTATATATTCTTTGTTGGATATACGGAAGCATCGTATAGTGTTCGCCCAGACGAGTTGAGTAGCCTGATTGTAAGCATACACGTTATTCGTGACAATACATTGCTGATCTATTTCAATAAATGCGAGACACTTACACATAATGATTGCCAACATGTTCTTTTTCGAGAAAAGAAGAAGAAGTAACAGTCACGCTGAAGAGTCTAGTTTGGAAAGAGGGGGTGTGGACGATGCATTTTGATGAATTGGAAGACCGATACCTGAACGTTTTTTTGCGCGGACTTCTTTTTCCAGTTCCTCATTTTTTCATTATGGCAGAAATATGCTGATCATAAATCGCTCGTGATACTAACCATATTATAACGCGCCAGAGCACAAAGGTACCATGAATACCGGAACAGTCGTGTTGCTTACTTGAAAGTCGGAAGGAAGACTTGTGACTCGTTGGAAGTCTCAAGAATAAATTCATTAAACAGATGTTGATATAGAAGAAGCGCTCGCAGTATTATCTATACATTGCATTGATTCAATTATTTTTTAAAAACATTCGAGTATATCAGAGAAAACAATATGTTCAGTCAAAAAGTGTAGTCGTAATGCCGCGACTACAAAATGAGTAAAAATATTTCTTTACAAGCAAGACAGACAAATTCAAACAAACAAATAAAAATAATGTATATTACTCTCTTATAGTGAACAAGCTTCTACGTATGACACAAACACCGTCGAAATTGTGCTTATAAGACTTTTCCATAGAACTCTAGAGGGATAGGCTAGTGTGGAGTTCCAGCACACATCCGTACAAGCTGGTTTACGAAAAATAGTTGTTAGGAACAAACAATCACGGTCAAGTCAACCAAATAACGCTAATGAGTAGCTCTGTAATTTTTTCAACCCAATCTCATTATTTACTCATAAACAGACATCAAGTACCAATTCTGATACTTGTTTCTCCTTACTACTCGGGTATCCATATCGTTTTTTTTTTACTCTTTTGTCTTGACATATTAGTAAACGCTTTTTTCTGTCGACAAGTTGAACTCTGAATGTCGTTATGTGAGAAACTGGTATGCAAGCTATGTTATTATGATTGTGACAAAACCTGTCCCGCTTTAGTCTACCCCAAGTTGGGTAAAATTGCAACTTGACTTGTGCATGTGTAGGTTTTGCATTATTTATCATTCTCATTCCCTTTTTAGTTTTATCTTGTGCCAATATTGCTTTTTGGCTTCATATCTTTTACACAACATATGCACGGCAAACTCTACAATATACACTATGAGAGGTTCTCAACCTGATGACTATTATATTATATACATTACATACTAATGCAAGCTAATTTAATTAAACATTCTAATTCTTGGCTGTTACGTTGGCCCTGTGTGGCGTCTAATAAAAAAATAATACTGGACCGTTTTTTCCAAGCTAGTGCAAATTGGTAGAGACAATGATACGCCGTGTAACCATTTATACCTGTATAACAACTTGTCGAGTACGTACTTTGGGGAAAAAAAAATAAAAGTTTTTCAGATTTTTATCTGTAAAAGCATAGTTATGTTGTTGTGTATACGTACGTATACGTATTTCTACGTCCTGCGTATTTTAACGTAATGTCTGCGCGAGGAAAAGTGCAAATCAAATATCATTCAATAGCACCGAAATAAACTTTGTCGAACAGTGACATGTGCAACAGTAATATTTTGAAAGTGATCGGCGCGTCGATCACATTTCTTGTTAGTCACAAGCGATAGACAACACAATATTTTCAGATGGGCATTGCATTATCTTGAACAATGTTTGAATTAACATAATATTTAAGATGGTACGTTAAAACGGTGGAACCGCACCACAAAATTAATTTAATATGACTCTGAATTATACAAAAAATTTGGTAAAGTAACTTTCAATGGATTGAGTGAGAGGATATCAATAAACTACCATTCCGAGAAACCTTGTTTGTTTCAATAAACTTCCACTTTCTGAATCACGGATCATGGGACTATTAATCAGTTCTGTACATTGTGACACTGCGTTCAAGACAGACTTTATTCAGTAATCGAGCTATGACTTAACTGTGTACCACTTGTCTGCTCCGTCATGTGCGTGTATACTTGTCAGATAAATACGCAAGTCGAACGTTCTTCCCTACTTTCCATCATACTTTCTTGACAGCTACACCAATATTAATATTACTCATGTCTCCAGTAATTGCGATTAGTTCACGTGCTGTTAATGACACGACTGCAAGCTTTGACGAGTTTATCAAAACTGTGTCTTTCCGTGATGGCTGGGATGCTTTCTTTAGTCTCTGGATAGTATGGGCTATTACGTGGTAAGTTACTTGTAAACAATCAAAAAATTATCAATTGCTTTGTATTTGGTACTAATATTTTATACTCAGGTTGTTGCGACTCTATTTCTCACACTCAACCAAAGATGATAAAGATGACAACAAAGACGGTAATGAAGCGTCTACCGGCAAACGTTTTCATGTTAGTATACATTTGTATTGGTTGTATTGAGGTTTCGAGGTCTTATTCAGCGCACATGAGTGACCCCTGGGTTATATTGATATCCTACTCCCACATAGACTAATCTGCATTTTTCTATCTCGGTAGGTGGGAAAGAGAATTAAAAGAGTCCACAAAAAAATTACTCAAATGTTGTTGGGTCTGCTCTCCGCCCTGACTTTCAATAGTTTGGCTCATGGTTCGGGTGCTGCGGTCCAGATTCTCAGTTGGATATACTTGGGACTTGGTCTATCCTGGGCACACGCGCTAGTATGGGCTTCGAAAAGAGGTCGTCCAATCTACGGACTCTGTGGTGGCGTAGTTCAAACTGGCATCTTACTTGCTATCTTCATTCTCGCTATAATTTGTCGAAAAAGTGTTTGAAGACAATGTGTTGCCATTGGTGAATAAATGACGAATTGGTTTTCTATTTCATGTAACACAAACTTGTCTTCATAATTTATCATATTATTACACATATTTTTGTACTCAACGTAATAATAATATATCGTAAAGTAACGTGCAAAGTATCATACCGATTGCTTGTCGAGAAATTTTTCTGATGACAGTACATGGGAAGGATTTTGAATAATAAAAATTTATAGTAAACGAGACAAACGAGCGTGGATGCAATATCATGTGTATCATAGCACCGAGAAACTACTTTCATCTGTCAAATCATTTAACATGGTATAGCGCCGGTTCATTGACGTGTAATTTTAGTTTAACAAATTCGATATATAAAATCGCAAGGACACCCTTACAAATTAATAAAGTCGAACCACGTAATTTAAGTTCTAATTATCCAATGTTTGCTGATAGTAGACCATATTACTATTGTTGTATACGCGGTTATTATACTCGTTACTAAGCACAATTCTGATATAAAAATATATAGCTCAGTAGTCTCTGGAGTAAATGACCTATCGCATCAAATTGGAAGAAAGCAAATGCTTACCTAAAACGGCTTACGTTAGAAATTTTTATAAACTAAGACGATGATAAACATAACAGAACTCGTATAGCATTCAGATATTTACATTTTTAATTGTCATTACATGCTTCTTGCAGAAACGTGTTTTTTTATAAACTCTAAATTTATTTACCAATAGAATTGCTACCTCATATCCAAAAAAAACCAAAAAAAAAAACAAAACACGTGGGGTATAGACAAAGTAAGTATAACAGCATTATTAGAAACATCTATAATTCCGGTAAAGTAAACACTAGCCACTGATTTTACGGACAGTAATCATTGTCTGTTTATAAGCAAAATACCGGATAAGT